GTTGCTATTGTGGTTTTTGGTTGTGGTTGTGGTTGTCGCTGTGGTTGTGGTTGTTGTTGTGGTTGCTGCTGCTGTTGGTGTTGGTGTTGGTGTTGGTGTTGGTGTTGGTGTTGGTGTTGGTGTTGGTGTTGTTTTTGTTGTTGTTGTTGGTGTTGTTGCTGCTATTATTGTTGGTTGTTGTTATAGTAGTTGTTGTTCTTCTACTTGCTCAACTATTCTTCTTCTTTTTTGTTGTTGCAGTCATTGTCACGATTGCTTATCTTATCGTTGCTACTACTGCTGTTGTTGTTGTTGTTTCCACCACCACCACCGCCACCACCACTACTACTACTACGACGACGACGACGACTACTACTACTACTCCTCTTCATACTCCTACTGCTACTGCTACTTCTACTGCTGCTGATGCTGATGCTACTGCTGCTGTTGGCCTGGTTACCGTTCTTATTGTTTACCAGAAATGGCAATTTTTGGGTGGAGCTGGATTAGCCATGCTTGTGTTTTTTTTGAGGCTTTTGGGTTAACATGGGGCAAACATGGGGTCTGGTGTTTTGACGAGAACCAAACGGTAGGCTTCATTTTCCGAAGGGAATTGATTAGGGCTGCAGCAGTGAGGACCGTTTCAGTTGCAAGTTTTCAGTGCCAGGCGGCCACGATCGCGCTAGCTGGATGCCTCCGGGGATTCGAAGAGGCATTGTGGTGGGTGGGACCGCAGATGCTTGCAGGCATACCGTGCTTGTCGAGCTATACGGGAGATCCTGGAAGAGGTAGCATAAACTGCCCCAGAGAGGGAGGCCCTGAAGCCTGCTCACACTGGTTGCATAACTGAACCCTGGGCCCCAACCAGAAATCGGTTGCCCAGGGCAGTGATCGTCCCGGTCCTGGGCTCTGGCGTGCCGTTCGGGGCATGTTGGACTTCCGACAGGCTGTGAGAAATGGCTGCGGCTTAGGACTGCAATCCTAGATGCTGCATCGCTGTTGAGCACTGGGATGAAGCTCCAGCTGTCCAGCTTCTGGCGCTGCAATTCGCGGCCACTGTCGTCAAGCTTCGCTCAGCACAGGCCGCGGCCACGGATGTCCCCGGGCCAAACTTCAAAAAGTGGCACCGCGCGGGTCGCCAGGTTGTGCGGGGAAGGGAGGAAAACCCAATAACACCTGGTAGGTTGTTGCCGCGTTTCGTCGAACCGTTGGTGGATACTGCCATAACAGAAGCCTTAAAGAATTGCCTATCGTTTCAACAGAACCAGGCAAAGCATGGCTCACGAAACTCTTTGCGTAGCCTTTCCATGCAAAGATACCCAACCCTTCGGGCTCGTAGTTGTTTGGAAGCCTCCTCTCCACGAGCCAGGTCAGAGACTACCGCTTCTGGGAAGCTGCCAAGGTGTCTTAGCTAGTCAGAAGATTTGGTGGGAACAGGCTTTCACAGATTTTCCACGAGAAGCTTCCGAGAACTCAAGAGAAGGCCCAAGAGAGGCTGAAAGACCGGAAGAGGCTTGCGGCTGATACTCACAAGCGCCCTAAGCCCAAAACCGAAATCCCCAAGCCTTTCACTCCATGGCCGACAGGATATCGATCGCAACATCCTCGACTCTCTGGAACAGAAGGCCGAGGGCTGGATGGTGATGTGGGATTGCCTTTAAGCCTCGGTGATGGCCTCTTCGAAACTTGCGTAGATGAATAAATCAATATACCGACGAGTATAAAAATATAATATATAATATATATATATATATAATATTATTTATAATATATATATATATAGATAATATCTATAGATACTCATATGTCTGTCTGTCTCTCTGTCTGCCTGCCTGTCTGTGTGTATGTATGTATGGTCATACATATATATATACACATATATACATATGCATATATACATAATATACATATATGTATATGTATATGTATATGTATATGTATATGTATATGTATATATACAACTATATGTATATGTATGTGTATATGTATATGTAGATGTACATGTATGTGTACATACATACATACATGCATGCATACATACATACATACATACATACAGTTACATACATACATATACGCATACATACATACATGCATGCATGCATACATACATACATACATACATGCATGCATACATGCGCATACATACATACATGCATGCATGCATGCATGCATGCATGCATGCATGCATACATACATACACACACACACACATATATATATATGTATAGATAGAATCACATACATGTGTATATATATATATACACATACATATACAAACATATATATATATACATATGTACACATGTAAACAAATTTCAAAAATAATCATCAATATACGTGAAAATGTAAACGACGGAACGAGTAGGCAAGTCGACAAATGCGTGAGTAAATGAAAAATATTTGAGACAAGAATGATTAAAGAATGAACCACCATATATGTATGTCTATCTATCTATTTTCTATATATATATATATGTATATATACATATATATACATATATATATATAGATATATATACATACACATACATATATATATACGCATACATATATATATATATATACATACATATATATATACACACACATACCCATCCGTACACATGCACATGTGAGGTACACTATATCATGGGTCTAGGTTTAGAGGTTTTGGGGTTCTTGTAAGCCTCTATATATCGGTAAGTTATGGTTCGAGCAGTCTGTCGTGTCAGTTGTTTCAATCAGTCGTGTGCCCAACGTAGAAGTCCTGCACGTGTGCGTTTTACATACTGGTGCATCGGCAAAAGTCTTTGACTAGCCAATTCATTTTCATGGGAGTTGTTGGTGGAGCAGTAAAGCCACCATACCTTTTAGTGTAATTTTCCATTCTCAATTTCAAAGCGCTGTCAATCAAATCGAAGGACATGTTATTCACATGCTGGATTTGTTGTTTAGATACAAACCAGGATCGGTTGCTGCTTGTTGATACACATCATACAGTGCTTTGTATCTACTGATGCTGTGTTCTCTTCATTTGGTGCATTTACTTGATTTGTGGTCTGGAGTCAGGTTTTGGGTAGTGCAGAGGCATTGCGTCTTATGGTGGGAGCGAAGACATTGAGGTTTGTGTTGGTAAGATTTACAACATTGTGTCTATTACGCGTGAATAAACCATGTAAGATGTTGGATTAAGAACCTTGCAAGCTTAGAGCTATCACTCGTGGCGTCCGCCCCCGGTGTCACCCACATGCACCCTATGGCTGAACATGTGTTGCCTTTCCAACGAACCACGATACATCTTCATGATTAATTTTATATCCGAACCATTGCCAATTTCGCACCAGTTGAACTGTAAAGGAATTCAGTCGGCATTCGGCACCATTTCGTACTCTCTGTTCTTGTATTTGTATTCAGGCATGTCTACGTGTTCCGAATGTGCTCTCTACTTTCAACATATTCGTACATGTATACAAGATTTTTGCATGCAGGTATGTTTTTGTACTCCCATGTTTCGCGTTGAGAAGACTTTGAGGGATGATCAAGAAGCAAGAAAAATCTATATAGAACGAATGAAGAACAACTTAAGCAAAGAAGAGTTTGAGTGGATAGGAGAGTTGCATTATCTTCCTGTTGATACTAGTTTTTGAGAGAAAGCCATTGTTTGATGCAGTTTGTCGGTTACATGCGATGAACCATTTTAAACAAGGTTTTTTGCTTTGTGCTGGGATGTGTAGACTCTCACCACCTCAGATGAATGTGTCTGTCATAACAAAGAAATGTAGGTTCATGAAGAAGCAAGGCAGTATTCAGAGGATTAACCAATGTTACCTGTGTCTGAGAGTGCTTCTGAAAGCGACATAACATGACGATACAGGTTGATACAACCAGCATGCATTTTCACAGTGGTGAGCAGCTGGAGCGAAGACACGAGAACAAGTCCTTGCTATGTTGTATCGCATAGTGCATGCATAAGTGTAAGATAGGCACAGCCCATAAGAGGCTCCGAACTTTGATTGCATCCTTCAGCTTAAGTGAACTGTTGTTGGTAAATGTGGATCAGAAGGCTGGGGCTTAGGTGGGTGAGATGTTGAGAGGGGCTCGGTTTGTGTAGTTGAAGGGCACGATGTGTGGGACTTGGACTGGCATTCTGGGCTTCGAGGTTCTCGATTTCAGGCCTTGGTGGGTTGGGGGCAGCGGCGCCTTGGGTGGACTCCTGCGCACCCCCGAAGACCCAACTCTTCCAACATGCAAAGGCATCTTCGAGAGCCTTTCGAGCCCTGAACCCTAAACCAAGCCTAGCTCTAAAAGCACCCCAGACCCCAAAACCCTAAACCCAAGGCTTGAAACCTAGCCCTAAGAAGATCCTGGTCTTCACAGGGCACCAAGCGCGATGCGCCCACGGGCGAAGATGCCATCGCCGCCGCCGTGTACGCAGAGGAACTTGGAGAGGCTCCTGGTTTTTTCTCTCTACTCGCGTTGAGGGATTTAGGATGACAGGTGTTTTAGGGATTTAGGGTTAGAGTGTGGGGGATCTGGCTTTTTGTCCTAGAAGTAAAGCTTGTGCTCTTTTCCGTAGTCTGGCAACTTGTTCCTGTTAGTCTTCGTTTTCTGAGTATCTTCTATCATGACTGCTATTCTCCGTCTTCTCATTGTCGTTGTCAGTATTGTTAATGTATCGTAAGCAGTACTATCATTGTCAATCTCAGGGTTGCAATCCTTCTTGCAATCAAGGCTGTCCTCTTTGGTATTCTTGCTCTTATGGTTACTACTAGTTACTGGATGTCCATGGTATCACATCGAGTCGGCGAGAAGTTTCCGAGACTGGAGGTATCCGCATTGTGTCGGGTCTTGGAACATGGGACCTGCGTTCTGAAGAAGCTATGGGGTGCTAGGAAATGGCTGTCTGACCGAGGCCCCCCGCAAGAAGCGGCGAAAGAACAAAGGCGCCTCGATGAAGTTGGAGAGCATCTATTATATTATATTATATTATATTATACTGTATTATACTATATTATATTGTATATTGTACTCTATTATTCTGCTCATCAGCGCAAAGCTCGAGCTATCTCCGGGCGGGGCCTAGACAGTGGCAAAATTACGCCCTACCTTGATCATGAAAAGTGCTCTTCAGCCCCTTGTTGGTCAGCACCTTCGGGCTGCGTGTTCAGGCCTGCAGGGCCTTCAGTATTGTGACTGCTATGCAGGCTTCGCGATCAGATCCTGAATCTGACCGCTTGCGCCTTGGCTGAGGTCCTGTCGAGGAAGAAGAAGCCCCGGACCTTCTCCAGCAGATGGCGCAGAAGGCAGCATGCCAGGGAGAGGGGGGAACCCCTGTGCACGGAGCTTGAAGTCAACATCGCCGCCAGGACAGAGAGCTCATGGCGCTCAAGGAGGAGGCCGGGGTTTCCGTGTTTCGGGATGGCTGGGCCCAGGTTTCTCAGGAGCCTCTGATGACGTGATGCCAAGTGGTAGAGCTTGAGCATGACCAAAAGGTGTGACAAGAGTCTTCAATCTCTGAAACATATTCTCACACCTTCGAAACTCTTATCAGCACACCGAGGCCGTAGGCTCTGTGGGTAAGGCAGCTTCGGCTCGAGACAAAGCATTCAGAGTCGGCCGGGGTTTAGGGAGTTTAGGGTTTAGGCTCGTGACGTGATCATCATAATCTGAGAATGTTTTCGAGCAGGTGCAGCCGGAGGACACCCCTATGGAGGGCGCCGATGGCCCTGGTACAGAGGCTCCTCAACCTGAAGCAGCCGAAGCGGAGATCAAGGTGCCCTGGACTGCTGGGACGACTCCGCAAGGCTTAGGGATTTCAAGAAGCATCTGCAGAAGGTGCGGAAGGTGTGCTGCAAGCATGCATGGTGTGATGTCTACAGCAAAAACAGAAAGATGACACAGCGTTTATTCCAGGTAGACCTTCCAGGTTCAGAAACCTGGCTAGCATGGCGCCAAATAGTGGCGGTTTCCTTGGATTCGAAGCTCCAAGGCGCCGGCAGCCCCAGCAGCCCCAGCAGCCCCAGCAGCCCCCAGCATCCCAGCTGTGGACACCGGAGTGGGGGACCCGGATTTTGGGGGAAGCCTCGAGGTCCTGTGGAGGAGCTGTGTTGAATGCATGTGTCTTTAATGCCGGCCATCTCTTCTTGCTGTTTGTGGGAGTTCCATTTCCTCTAGTCTGATGTGGGGCGACGGAGGGCTTGGGCTTTGGCCGGGCTGTGTTTTACGAGGATCGGACTGAGCGGGCCTTGTTGCAGCCTGTTTGGAGCTGGGGCGGCCGCTAATGGGACCACGGTTTAGAGTTTCAGGCTTTCGCGGTTGAGGTTTAGGGAATGGTGGGGGGCCTTTGTTCCGGAAGGGCATAAGAAAGCGGATACTATACGGTGGCCTTTAGTCGGATGGACTCTGTTTCGCAGCTAGATCGCCCTTGCTAGCCCCAAGTACGAACACGAGAATTCCCACTTCTGGAGCTTGACTTGAAGCCTCGACGGCGAAGAATCGGAGCTTCCCGCCCGAGCTCTGTGCTGCCGCAGCTCAAAACCACAGCCGATGTTTGAGGAAGGCGAAGCCATCTCCGCGGTTTGCGACGTGGTCCCCCAGGAGGGGATGCCATGCACTGCAGCTTTTGGATGGAATTTGGGGCCCAGGTGTTGGGTGCTACTTATCGTTGTTCTCGGGCATTCATTTCGCCGGCATGGCTGGAGAACAGGTACATGCCCTCCAAAAACTTTCCCCAAGATCTGGAGGCAGTAGGAATCCTACATGGGAGATGTGTGACACCCCGACTCCGCCGCAACGGTCTAAAGGCAGGGAGAGAGAGGGAGAGAGAGCGTGAGAGTGAGTGAGTGAGAGAGAGAGAGAGAGAGAGAGAGTTTTAAAGAAGAGAGAGAGAGAGAGAGAGAGAGAGAGAGACAGAGAGAGAGAGAGAGGAGAGATAGAGAAAACGAGCCTCGAGAGACGATTGGTTTACCTCTCAGCTCTGAGTCCCTAAACCCTAAACCCCCAAACCCTAAACCCGAAACCCTAAACCTTAAAACCCTAAACCTCCACGATGGGACTGGCCCAGGGTTGTTTTTTTGCTCGGAGCTTCTGCAACCTCCGGGATAATTTCCGGGGCTGTTTCGTGAAGAAAGGTCTTCTCACGAATATCGAAGCCCCAAGCATCGCATTATCAACGATGATCTTCCATGCTGCATCCAGCTCAATGGGAATCTTACGAGCTCATGCATCCTTCCTTTGTCCCCCCCCCAAGAGTAGCATCCTTGTCATGAAGCTAAGGTACCCGTAATATCTTCAAAAGTCTCCCATCTGCCCGCTTCGGCCGCAGCGTTTGGGCTCCTGGGCCGTGTCGGGTAGGGCCTTGCAGCGATGGAGCAGGAGCCTTCCGAGGGTTTAGGGTTTAGGGCTTTGGGGTTGGTGCCATGCCTCGTAGGGTTTAGGGGTTTAGGGGTTTTGGAAGGTTGTCGGGTTTAGGGGTGTAGCGGTTTAGCGTTTAAGAGAGAAGCGGTTTAGGTTCTTGGGTTTGGGGTTCAAGGTTGAGGGTCTTAGGTTTTTGGGGTTTAGGGTTTATGCGCTTCAAGGTTTACTGTTTCGGGCAGTTGTTTGCGGCTTAAAGGTTTTCGGGGCTTTAGAGTTCAGGGTTTGGCGGTTTCGGGATTTAGGGTAGGGGTCTAGTGGCTTAGGGCTTAGGGGTTATAGTTTTGGGTTTGAGGGTTCAGGAGTTTATGGGTTTAGGGTTTAGGGTTTGCAGGGGGCTTGGGGGCTTTGGGTTTAGGGCATGAGAAGGGGCTTGTGGCTGTAAAGGTGTTCGAATTTCTAGTGCCTCAGGGGGCGTATCTCATGGTTTGAGATACATGATTCCGTGCCTATCGGGCCAGGGTTTTTCGTTGGCCTCAGGACCTTTTCCGCCCTCAATCAGCGCCTTGGTGGGGTGCGAAGGGATCCTACTCCCGAGATCCGGCAGCCGTCTTCTTCCATGCTAGAGCCTCTGCTTCCCCGAGGAGAGTTGCAGGCCCGAGGTACCTTCTCATTGTCTTGCTGTTCATGAGGAGTCTCCTGACTGGGGTCTGAGATCCTTATCATTTATAGTAACACTATCATCGCTGATGTCGCTAAGATTGTTACCGTCATTCGTAGTGTTTCTGGTGGTCGCCAGGATCTTCAAAGCTTGGCGGAGTCTGTTGCGTGCGGGGCTGAGCAGTGGTGTAGCTGTGAGTCCTTGTGGAGTGAAACCCGTATGCTTGTCCTGTAGCGAGTTTGGCTCAAGCAGCCAGGCTCCAGAGTTGAGACAGAGCGTGCCCATGGCACTTCAGAAGGGCGCGAGCTCCCCAGTACATGAGGGGCATGCCATCAGTAACCTGACCATGGAAAGCACATTAGCTCAGACCCCTCTGCCCGGTGAGTGCAGAGACAAATCCGAAGTTGATGAAGATTGCGACCACGAAGCAGGCTTGAAGAGTCATGAACCGGAGCCTGCTGACCGATTAGAGTGTCAACGCCACGAGCCGGCAAACGGGTTTTCCAGTCTTCGGAAGTTTTCGTGCCGCTGCAACCCTTTTCGATCGCTCGCACGTAGCGTGCAGTTCGGAAAGTCAGCGCCATCGATCAACCATTTGTCGTTCTTTTCCATAGCGCCGAACAGCGTGGCCGAGGTGATGCCACTGCATGGCAAAGTCGCAGATGTGATCAGTTTTCAGTTGAAGCGGTACTTCCAGGATCGTTGCGCCGGCGGGAAATCGGCACTGCACCGCTTTGGTGAGGTGGCCGCAATCTTGTTCAGCCTCCTCTTCTTGCTTCCCGTGTTCAGCTGGACGGTTTGTGCGCTTGTCCCGCTGGAATCGCCCCAAAGTGGGTTTTGGTCCAATTGGATCTTTAATCTCTTGGTTCATCCTGTTCTCAACTATGTTATTGCTAGAGGCCAGATTGAGGTAATGGCTCGTGCATTTTGCCATGATGCCCGCATCGGTATTCGCTGGATTGTTCGCTTAACACCGCTGGCCAATGTAAGTGTTTGCATCTTGGTTCACCTGATCGCATCCCTTGCCGACGTGTATCCCATTCCGGTCTCACCGGTCACCGTCTGCGTTCCTTGTTGTTGGATCTCCATGGGCGACTTCTGCCGTCGGAGATTCTCACACCGCAGGTCCGGAGTTTCGTGAAGTTCAACTTTGCCAACTGGGCTTCCTGGCTCTCACAGTTCCTCATACTTGCCGTTTGGACCCTGAGATTTCCTGCCATGTCCGAGCACTTCCAGGCGCTCAGCACTATCGGGATCAGTCTTGTTATCGCCGTCTTTGGTTGGATAACACAGAAATGCGGAGATCGCATTGGCCTCCCCAAATTCCTCCTCGCCGAGTTAAAGCTCTGCATGTTCTTCATCGGTCTCTTCTGCTCTGCGTCGGTGATGGAATCAGTGAAAAGCATCAGGGTGGTTTTCGTCATCGCTATTCTGGATGCAGGCAAAGCGCTGGCTTTGACGGCGAAGCTGCTATGGGAGCTTGTTCAGGCCCTCGAAGAGGAGGACGGCCTTTACGGTCTCCCCGAAGAGGACCCCGCAGCAACGCACTGCCGTCAGAAGCTGTGCACTGAACTGCAGAAGCATTGGCTCAAGCTTCAACACAAGCTCGGAGTTGCAAGAAGAGTGGGCCAGAGGCTGCGAGGTGTTCTAGGACGCATAGAGACCGGAAGAGCAGAGGAGATGCATACCTGTGACATTTGTCCTGCAGACGCTCGGCTGTTGAAGATCTTGACAGACTGCTGGGCCAGCTTAGCTCTCGTAGAGCTTTGCGAGCTCTTGGTGCCCATGTTGTACATGATAATCGCTTGCCTCCTTCGGTATGTGGAGGGCAACCGCATCTACTTCCTGCAATTCCGGCACTCGAGCTTCGCAGAGTTTGAAGACGGCATAGTCGGCAACTCCATCGCCGTAGCTGTCGAGGTGGTCGTGTTCCTAGGCCAGCAGATCTGGCTTCTCCGCATGTTCGGTATCAACTTGTTCGAGCTTACAGGCGCCCTGATTCGCCTGGACTTTTCATTCTATTTCTTTGCAATGTCCGCCTGCTTGGTTGGTTTTGGGGCCATTTCGCTGGAGCATTTCGGCAGCTGGGGTCTGATAAGTTTGGTGGTCTAGGAGCTGGAGGAAGGAGGCGAAACCGGAGGGGCAGGTTTAAAACCCCAATGCCTCTCAGACTCGACTTCGCCTTGTTCACAGTTGCGTTTAAGCTGCATGGGCGATTGGCCCTTGCATCGACCTCGCTTTGTTTACGTTTGTGTTTAAGCTGCACGGGCGATTGGCCCTTGCATCAATGTTGTGGGCCATGTGTTTCACAGGTAGCGGTAGCGGGGTTCGTGCACATGCGTCCGAGACCGCAACAGAATCCCATCGATATGGCCTGTACCTCGATGGTAGAAACTGTCGGCTGCATGATACAGTGAGTTTATGCGAAAAGCAATGGCTGCGCTGGCAACATGTCCTTGTCGGATTGAGGTTGATCTCTACGTTCGGTTGATGATGTGAAGTCACTGCTTTGAATCGGTAGAGCTGTTCACGCTGCAGTGGATCCTATCTGCCCAGCCGTACCGGCACAATAGGCCAGGATCCTCGAGAGACTGGCGCTTGTTGCATCATGGGCGAATCATGACACGCTTTTGGCAGTGCGGGCCTTCAACGGAAGCTGTGAAGCTATGAACATGTAGCAGCATTTGTGTAGTTCATCTTCATACACTGCACCCCTTGCAGCCCTTAAGACCAACCCCAAAGCACAAAAGCAACGCAACACTTCCCAAGGGCATTGGACGAGCAGTCTGCTGTCAGCGTCATCTGCTCCGTTCTTGAGTCCCGGTTGCTGGGCCAGAGAGAGTTAAGGTTTAGGAGCTAGTGGGTGTCGGTTCAGGGTTCAGGGCATAGACTCCCCTTGTTTTGGACAAGCTCTTTGTGAATCTGGGCTTGGTGCTTCTGCTTGGCTAGACCTACGCGATTGAGATTTGCCGCATGCCAACGTTTCAGGTCCAGTCAGGTATCGTCTATGTACCATGACTACATATTGTCATCATTTGAAGTGTCACTGTACAGCTGCCTAAGCATTTGCACGCAATCTATCTGTGAATGTTCCTGTCTGTTTGTATATACTGTTGTAGTTTACATGAGTTAGTGTACGAACATGTGTACGTATATATGTATATGTGCAGATGGCTAAGACATGTTTGTGTATATACATAAACGTGTATATGTGTGTGAATGTATGTAAGTATGTATGGCGAGGTCTCACAGTGTCCAGTTTTGCAAAGATATAAGTATAAACAAATAAATAAATAAATATATATATATACATATATATATATATGTGTGTGTAGATATATATATATATATACATACATGTGTGTGTGCTTATATGTCCACATCTGTCGCTCGCTCTCTCTCTCTCTCGATGTCTCTCTCCGTGCATGTACATCTACATAGATACACACGGGCATATGTGTTCAAGACCCCCCAGTTCCCCCCCCCCTCCCCCAGGTTGTAGCTTCTCGAACTCGGGGGGGTGTCAGGCCGGAGCTTGCGCCGTCAGTGGTTTCCTTCTCCGTGCCAGACCTGACATATCCGCCCATCAAGGAGGGGGCCTTCAAAGGGGGTTTAGGGGTTTGGGGTTGTAGGGCAATGGAGGGCAGGGTTTAGGCTGCTAGGATTCCGGGCTTATCGTCTAAGCCCAACCGGAAGCTCAAAGCCACGAACTTCCAGCAATCTTTTTTTTCACTTCCCACAGAGTCCTTGTGCCTTGTGCAGGCCCTGGTGGAAAGGCGCTCCGATGGTTTCATCAAGTCCTTCAACACGGAGAAGGAAACCCAAGCTTCAGGGTTCGAGAGGCTCAATGGTTTAAGGGAGCGTGTAGCTTCAGGTTTCAGGGCTTCGGCATTCCTTCTCGAAAGCTGAGGCTAGAGGCTGGCCGGGTGGCATGTGAAGCAGCAGGTTGACTGGCCGCCAAGTCGGTCAGCAGCTGCAGGGATGTGGAGCAAGGGATTTCCAACCAGAGCTGCAGGCTCCCACTACCTCCAGGGCATTGGTAGAACAGGACTCCTCCGGGTAGACTTGGCGATCGTATTGTTGTTTTTTTTTGATTGTGCAGCACTGAACCCCGAAGCAAATCAAACCTTAAGCCGCACCGTACCACACGACCTGAAGACCTTTGAATCCCTGCTGGGTGAACGCTTCCCAGTCCGAGTTTGCACGGTGCAGGGCTTTGGATTCATCGCCTGCGAGGAGCTCTACAATGTAGCATGGCTTCTGCAGTGAATTCGTGTATACCTATACACACAAAGGCGTACTTACGTGCATGTATATGGGTATCCTCATGCAGCTACATGTAGAGGAGTAGTTCGTGCATGTCTGTGCGTCGTCGTTGTACGAGCGGCTTAGCACTTAGCCGACGATTCAAGGATCTCGGAAACCCAGGTCTTTGGCAACGACGTGTTCCTAGTCGGCCAGCAGATGGGCTCGTTCAATGTCGGCGACGAGGCACGTTCTGGCCTGCTTTGTTTTTGACCGTCAGAAGAGCTTGTCTAGCAGCACACAGATGAATGTATCATGATATCCCTTCCGCTTCAATCACGGATCAGTAGTCCGAAGTTTGAAGACTTCTTCAACCCGAAGGCCCTCAGGATCCTTTCTAGTGACTCCGGCATGCTACAGGATGCTGCAGGCTTCAAGCCCTCACCTCCGACTTTCTTTGCGCAGCTGGCCAGGTCAGTTTTGCAGTCGCGCTGAACAAGGACAACAAGCCACAGGCGATGCTTGAAGATGTCTTGATGTCAGGGTGTCGGAGAGCGGAAGGAGAGTGTGACGTCGAATGCTTCGGTTTGCCGGACGGTAGTGTTGCGGGGAGTTTGAGCAAGTCTCATGGCTGTTGTGCCCAGGCCTATGACCTTCGGTGGCAGCACCATCGAAACGCCGTGACCCCGTTACAAGTGTCCCAACGGCGTGGGCCGGCAACAAGATGCCTTCAAGCCTAGCGACCAGGAGACAGGAGACAACGTATTGAAAGAAGTAGAGGCCCAGTCATGCAGAAGTGTGGTGGCAGAAGTAGTGCTGGGGGTGGCTGCATAAGTTTCTCAAATGTCGTAGCTGCTTCAAGAAACACATACCCCCGCAGCAGTGCTGTGACACAAGAAGAGCACAACATTGTGTCTTGCCTTCTGATCTTTGTTCGATGTCGAATGTTCGGCAGCACGAAACCCATTCGCTTCAACGCAGAGGTGGCCAGCGGCAAGGGGGGCGTGAAGGCCCTTGCAGCCGTCGAACCTTTTGGCGTGGTTTGCATGGCAGGATATGGTGCTGCCTTAGGAGAGAAGTTCAGCTCGAAGCCCGGCACGGAGAGCCCTGTTTTATGCGTTTCTCGTGAATCTTTGGTGCAGGGTGCCTGGCATGCCCCTCAGCAGAACCAGCAGCAGCAGCAGTGGGGCGGTGGGAAGCCGGGACCCCGGCAGGGTCGATGGATTCATGGCGGGGCACCGGGTCCAGAATGATACTTGCTTGGGGCTCTCCGTCTATTTTGCCCATAATTTGCCAACAAATCCGATCCTCCTGATCATGGCAACTAAGCCTGCAGAGTGGTTCGTGATCGGGCATCTTCTGAGTTCATCCTTCGGGCCTCGGAGAGCTATTCTAACAAAGGCCCTGCCCTGGGATGACAAGGAATCCTCCGTGGCATCCGCGACATCTCTTTTGAAACAAGAGCAGGCAGCAACTGGTCTCACCAGTCTTATCCGCATGAGTTCCAGGCACGATATCCTTGCCACGAACATCTGGGAACCCAGAGCAAGGGGAAACGGCTGAAGTGCAAGAGGAGTGTTAATGCTTTTGAGACGCTCAAGAGCAATGCTCCCAAACAGATTTGTCTTCTGGTTCTGCCCTGTTGTGTTCAGAACCGTCCGTCTGCATAGCTTGCCGGACACCACCGCAGTTTTCAACATACTTACCGAGGTCGAAAGGCAGTGGTGGTGGTGCTGGTTCTTGGGGCAAGGCGCCTTGCCGGAACAACCCAGATACACGACATTTCTCAAGGAAGAGCCGCTGCAGTACAACTTGCCAGACACTCCACCCTGGACCCTGGACCCTGAGCAGGGTTCCTGGCAGCCGAAAGCCGTCACGCGCGAGCCTTAGTCTGTTACCACTAAAGAACGTCCCATCGCCGCGCATGGAGCCCTCTCCCCATTACCACCTACTCGGTGTCGACTTCTTCCGCGGCACGCAGCGGCTTGTGTGTGCGGGCCTTCTTCTAGAAGCACTCGCTTTGTCTTCGCTCGAGACGCCGAGTGTACACGAAGGGCTCAACATCATCACATGCTTAATTGCTGCCTTGCGCTGGTTGTGCAGTGCCATCCCATGCCTTGCATAGCTGCACCGGCAAGGTCCCCGGCGCAGGAAGCGCCGACCTACCAGGTTGGATCTGGAGAGGGAGGGAGGGAGAGAGAGAGAGAGAGAGAGCGAGCGAGCAATGCCAGTGCCTAACTTCCCACACACCCGGCAAGCAAGCAAGCAAGAGCCATGCCTGATCTTCTACAGAGCTGACAGTCTCATCATCCCATGTCTGTAGGTTACAGACTGTCTGGTCTGCAAGCGTCGTACCTTTCTCATGTTCTCCATCCAGGCCTGGAAACCTGCCGAGCCTCAGCAGCAGCCTTCGTGGAAGAAGAGGACCAATAGTTACTGTTCCCTAGCCTTCCTAGTTAGACTCGTTTCCACATTCTACCCCGCTATTTCGAAGCAAGTAGTGGGCCGCAGGAAGTCCGACGAGGCATTCGAGCCACCTTCGGAGGCAGTCATTGGAAACTATTCTGGCTTCATCAAGAGCCCGGGCCCTGAAGAAAGATGCTGAGGAATGTCTGCAAAGCCCGAACCTCCCACAAATCAGGAAAAAGGTTGCGGGCAGCGGTTTTCAAAGTGCTATCAGCCTGCCAAGAGTACAGTTTAAGGGTCGCGAGGTATTTCTGAGAATCAGCTTCACAACACTTCCCACAGCAGAGGCTTCAACCCAAGCAATGGCTACGGCTTCATAGTCTGCCAGGACCCAGGTTTGCTTGTGATGTTTGTCTGCCAAAGCTGTCGGTGATTCTTCGAATTCGATTGAAGCTAGGCTCAAAAAGGCTTGCTGCAAGACCGCGCAGAGTCGGTGTGCATTTGTACTGTGCGTTTCCATCTTGTGTCTTCTGGAGAGGCTTTGGTAAACTGCGGGGTGTGCTCAGAAGGTGCCTGTGCTCTCTGGAGCCAGCACGCCCTGGAGACCTTTGAGACTAGAAGTGAAGCAGGTGACCGAAAGCGAAGCCTCCTTGTTGCAAGAGGACCTGAAGGCAGAGGGCTACGCTAACGATGTCTTCCTACATCACGTCCCACCGGCATCGTTCTGCGAAGTGCCGGCCTGTAGATCGCAAGACGGAGGCTTGGCTTCTCACGTCACAGGCGTTCAGGAGCGTTCTCCCAGCTCTCCGAAAGCAAACTCTAAACCCTAAATCCATGTCTCCGCCCAAACTGCCCAAACCCTAAATCCTAAGCCCACAAACCCTGCGAGGTGGAAAAAGGGGTTCAACAAAATCTCTCACACACACACACACGCACACGCACACGCACACGCACACGCACACGCACACGCACACGCACACGCACACACACACGCACACGCACACGCACACGCACACGCACACGC